GGGGTGGGGGGGGGGGGGGGGGGCGCAAAAGGCCTCCTGTAATGAATTAGAATCTTTTCCTCGTCTGATCCAGCATGAACTCAGTGTGAAGCAATATGAGCAGATATTTTGAGAGGGTATTGGATAATGCAGAGCTGCTAATTTGCATGGCACAGGAATTATTAAACAGTTTATTTGGTGATATTTAGAGATTCCTACAGCTCCTCAATTTTAAATAACTGTACCCAAACACTTTACCTATTATTTTATACCCCAAACCCCAATACTAAAATGTGACCTTCACTACCTAGCCCTTGAAACTAACACTAGACATAGCTCAATGTCTAATTGCCTTAATGAGCTTAAGCACCAATTCTTAACAATACTGTGCTGGGGACCTCGGCAGCCTTCCTGTGAACCGCAACGTTGCTTACAGCGCCAGCCTGCACATCTCCTTCCTGGGGAACCACGACGCCTGCACCCACCTCCGGGACCCTGCACAGCCTCTCCCAAGACCCCGCACAGCCTCTCCCGAATCATCAGGCCAACACCTGGAGCAGCACAGAGTATGTAGCTTCTTTTTATTCTGCATTGGTGTATAATGTATTGCTGGAATTTGTAGTCCTCTATAGCTGGTGTTATTCTGCATTGCTATATAATGTATTGCTGAGATTTGTAGCTCCTCCACAGCTTGGAGTCAGTGGCAGAACCACCAGGGTCGCAGCGGTTGAAGCTGTAACCAGGCCCTGGTGCTTCACCACAAAACCCTTAGTCTGTATTGTTTTAGAAAAACTCACATGACAAAAAAAAGATATCGTAATTTCTATCGGTGAGTACTTGAGGAAAAAGTATCGGTACTCATACTCAGCCTGGAAAAAATGGTATCAGTGCATCCCTAATATCAATACTTCCTGTTTCTACAAGAAACCAGTCCAAGTACTCTCTGGCCAGGTCATTCGGATTAAGTTAAAGTAGAATTTCTCTAACACTGTTCAGTCATGTACTACCATTATAACCTTCGCAGTCCACACATACCACTAACATTAATGGGGATCTTAACATTTCCTTACCTGTAATAGTTGTCATTAAACAATCCTCACTAGAATGCGGTCCACAAACTCACATGGTTTTCTATTTTCCTGAAGGTTCCTACTTTGCATCCCCCAAGCCAATATTAAGCCCTCTGAGGGAGTCAGTTCAGTAAGTACAGTGCCCTTTTCTGTTGTCTTTGTGAAAATACTTTCAAGGAGATCAAGTCAAGTTCATAATAGGTATATTAACTGTAAGTCAGGCTACATCTGGTTTAGAAAAGGATTTAGATCCCTTTGCACCTGTAGGTAAAAATGTAGGGTTGCCCACTGTTATAATTTTTCAAACATTTGTAATAGACCTACTGTTGTGATTGTGTTTTAAGTAGAAGACTGTTGTGAGTATAGCTGAGAAGTGATCAGGGACAGGTTTTATATTGGCATAGTTCTACTTCTGAGAAGCAGGGAGGAATGCATAAATCATGGTGTGATCTTAAAATCTGTCTCATAATCAATCTCATTGTTACTGTATTGTTGTATAACAAAACAGATAATCTCCCCATTCAAACATGAAATACATTTTAATAATCATTTGAAATAAAACAAATCGCGTATTTATTTCTGAATCAAATTAAAAGAAATAGTACATAATATTTCACACTGTGCAAACAAGAAGTGCTCACCGTGTGCCTGCATTCCCATGTAGGTAAAGAATGACAGGATAGTGTGTAGACATTACTTCCTCATACCACGCCAGGTCCTTTCCCTGAGCATCTTTCCAAAGCGCTGCAGGAACGGTGTGCCTTTAATAACAAGAGCTCAATAGTGTCATTACAAAAATAGATGCCATATGTTCAGTCATTTCAGGAGAAGAAAAGCCATCCATATATTTGGACAAATTGCTCATAATGTTTACAATAAATAAAGAATACTGTAAACAGGGGCGTAACTAGAAATCACAGGGCCCATAGCAAAATTTTGTATGGGCCCCCGTGATTGCTATTTATGCCAATTGCAGAGCCCCAGCGGAGAGTGTCCCTGCAGAGCCCACCATAGACTCTCTATAGTGGGCTCTGCAGGGTCTGAGATCTCTTACTTGTCAGCGCCTCTGTGGTCCCCGGGCCCCGACTCCTGTTCCGTCCCCAGGCCCCGCCTCCTCTTACATCACTGGCCCCACCTGCTCTTAGGTCGCTGGCTAGTGATGTAAGAGGAGGCGGGCCCTGCCTCCTCCATTTCGAACACCGCCCTCATCTGCCGCAGCGGCTGGCTGTCGCTGACACAGCTCTGCAGCGGCTATGAGGGGAAATGCGCCGCGGCCGCTGCTGAGCTGTGTCTGTGACAGCCAGCACCCCCACATGCCATAGCGACCCAGGCGGGCCTGGCCAGGCCCCCCTGTGCCCGGGCCCATAGCGGCCGCCTGGGTCGCTATGGCGATTGTTACGCCACTGACTGTAAATGAAGATTAGTATTTTGTTGTTTCATCGATTTCCACTAACATTACACATACCTGGGGTATACATATTGCAAATTCAGAGATATAGGCAGCTAAAACTATGAGTGTTTTACAATAACAGTCTCGCTTGCCCCTACCCCTTCCCATCTCGAGTCGGCATGTTGATCAGTGAGCTCATTCATGGCATAATAATAATAATTCTTCTTCATCTCATGAACTATCCATTAGGAAGACAGACGAGTCTTGTAAAGGGCGCAACCAAGTTTCACTTGTAGCAAAAGTAAAAATTTGCATACACCGATCAGCCATAACATTATTGTTGGAAATGCAATAGCATTTTCTAATGTACTGATATGTCTTTTGAGCTGTAGATGGCGCTGTAGTGCGATGTTACTCTCTAAATACATGCTTATCTATGATACACAGGACATTTTTCTATCTATATGTTTTCCTCACAATGCTGTATTCAGATGTAATATTCTTCTAAGCAAGTAAAACTTAATTCAGCATTCCTCAAGATCTCAGTGCTTCATCTAAACACATAACCAACAATATATGACCACTTAGAGGTGAAGTGAATAACATTGATTATCTTTTTACAATGGTACCTGGAAGTGGGTGGCATATATTAGGCAGCAAGAGATCATTGTGTCCCTAAGGTTGATGTGTTGGAAGCAAAGAAAATGGGCAAGTGTGAGGATTTGAGTGAGTTTGACAAGGGCCACATTGTGGTGACTGGACGACTGGGTCAGCGCAACTTCAAAACTGCAGCTCTTGTGAGATGTTCCCCGTCTGCAGTGGTCAGGACCTACCAAAAGTGATCCAAGGGAGGAAAACCGGCGACAGGGTCATGAGTGGCCAAGACTCTTTGAAGCACGTGGGGAGGGAAGGCTGTCCCGTGTAGTCTGATCCAATAGAAGAGCTACTGTAGCTCAAATTGCTGAAAAATTTAATGATGGTTCTGATAGAAAGGTGCCTGGACACAGAGCATCGCACTTTGTTACATATGGGGCTGCGTAGCCACAGACTGGTCAGGGTGCCCATGCTGACCCATGCCCACCACCAAGAGCGCCTACAAGGGGCATGTGAGCATCAGAATTTGACTATGGCGCTATGGAAGGAAGTGACCTGGTCTGATGAATCACATTTTCTTTTACATCATGTAGATGGCTGGGTGTGTGTCACGTACCTGGGGAAGAGATGGCACCAGGATGCACTATGGGAAGAAGGCAAGCCAGCGAAGCCAGTGTGATGCTTTTGGGCAATTATCTTGGGTCCTGCCATTCATGTGCATGTTACTTTGACACGTACCACCTACCTAAACATTGCTGCTAACCAAGTACATTCCTTCATGGAAATGGTATTCTCTCATGGCATCTTTCAGCAGGATAATGCACCCTGCCAAACTGCAAAAAAGGTTCAAGAATGGTTGAGGAGCATAACGACGAGTCTGAGGTGTTGACTTCAAAATTCCAAATTCTCCAGATCTCATTCTAATTGAGCATCTGGGGGATGTGCTGGAAAAACAAGTCCGATCCATGAAAGCCCCACCTTACAACTTACAGGAATTAAAGGATCTGCTACTGACGTCTTGGTGCCAGATACCACAGCATAGCTTCAGAGGTCTAGTGGGGTGCATGCTCGATGGATCAGGGCTGTTTTGGCAGCAAAAAGGGAAACAGGGACCTACTCAATATTAGGTGGGTGGTCATAATGTTATGGCTGATCGGTGTAGAACAACAGCTGACTAGAATTGGCCAACTGTATGACACATTACCTTGAACGTTAACTTAATACAAAACTGATGATAAAGGCACATGCTAGTGTCATAGCTGTAGCAGTGTATCACAATGACATAACCTCATTTTATCAGCTTGCTGTCGCATATTATTTTAGACTATGATGCTAATTTCAACAAAGGTCTCAGACAAGTTTATTTTGTGCTTGCAGTTATATCAGACACTGGGAAAAAAAAATCTATACTTAAAAGGTTCATGGTACAATAGCAATTAAACGGCATTAACTGCCACCCTGAGATCTTTGCATTCTGTAGAACATCCTTGAGGGACTTAATGTTTTGTGCTCAGAGGTCAATAAAGCCTAGATGTCCAGGCCAAACTTCTCAGCATCAGTTAATTTAACTATATCTTTATCACTAACTTGCCTACCTAAATAACTGAAAAAGTACATATAATGTTTTTGTTTGGCACACAGGCTGACACGTAGACAAAAATGAAAAGAAGAAAAAAATAAATTTCAGTAAAAATATTCCTGTGTTCTTCACAGAAGAAAAACTAAGCCTCAACTTGAGTAATAACATACAGACGGGTTTATACCAATTCCAGCTATAGCATTACACATGCAAATGGGCACAGGGTGAAGAGACTCTATCCTGTACCAGACACCCAGTAAGCAGCTATCAAATAACTGGAGAGGATGGGGGCTAGCTCTAGACTATAAGACTACTCCATGTTACTCCATTTACGCAGGAAAACGAAAAAGTGGTCTTATATTAGGAGAGCAATCTATCAGCAATCAAGAGCCTCCAGAGGAATCCAGCCAATTGCCCCACAGTTGCTTTAATTTAAGTGGACAGCCTCATTTATAGACTAATCGTTTTCTTTGTAACTATGCAATTTATTTTCCCCGATGACCCCTTTAAATCCCACTATGCCACTAGATGATCTGATAGCATGACCAAAGCCTCAATTGCCAGTGTAAATTGCAGGGATTGCCCTGCCACCAGCATTATCCAGAGAAACCTGCATGTTGAGAAAGACGTGTCTAATTTTAATGCCGGTAGACCTACATCTCGGTCAGGATGGATACGTTTAGTCGCTAGTACCGGAGCTAGTATTTTAACATCAGAACATAGCTGTAAGATGAGTCTATAGGAGTGTATTATATAATACTATAAATGTATCAATACCATCTACAGGTCTGTAGTGTCCTCTGCAAGCTAAAAACATTATTTTCTCAATAAAGCTGACAAATGATCACAAGGTCATCGCACTCTGATTGGTCTATGAAGGTTAGTGGGAATAGAATGAAACCTATGGAGACTCCTGCTCATATTTCAAGTGGTATCGTACAGTGAGACACCATGGAATTAAGAGTCACTGCATATTGACAGAGACCGCATGGAACCTTTAATACCTAATGTGTAAATTGGCCACCAACATTAATAATCTACTGGAATACAGGGTTTCGCAGACCATAAACCATGTTCAAATTGACAATGTTTCTAAGAAGACAAGAAATGGGGGTTGTGTGACAGATTGGTATTATCTGTGGATGTTCATTTTTTTATTGATTTTATTATGTATAAATTAAATTGATGGTTTTAATTTATAGAAGCTGGTTGATGGTTATTTTGAATAAGGATATATTGTTAATGATTCCCCAGTAGTGTAGAAAGCTGAATATATATCCAAAGTTAACCCTGATTTCTTCATTATCTCTATAGTGCAGCAAAATGCCTATTTCTAGCGGTTAGTGTTCCGATTCTCTAGGGATTACCTGAGAGCAGAGGAAAGGATGGTGTCTGCTATCATTAGCATTCAGCTTTCAACAACTGCCTGCCTGCAAACTGCTTATAGCTTAAATCGGTTCCCAGTGACTACAACAGGGCATTGCAGCTCAAAAACCAACATTTATGGCTCCTGGCACTGAAAACATTAAATCAAAACAGAGGCAGGTGCTTTCCCTGTTCTCAGGTCTTGTCTGCAGATTCAGCAGAGAAGCTGGATGAAAAGAATCCAATGTTTACACTGGCCTAAGCCTATGATGCACAACACAGGGAAAGTAAAAAATATCATTTAAAAAGTTAAACGTGCCAAGATAATCGGTATTCCAAGTGGACAAGAGCTCATCTTCTTTACATGCAACCATGATGTGCTCACGTGGATGCTTTTGTATGGGCCTATGTCAGTTGCATAGAGCAGTGTGAATGACGACGAGCTAGCGTGGCATGCGGGGTTCAGTGAACTATTTGAAAAGTGCTGTAACCAGAATACAATAGGAACCTAAAGTCAGCACTCAAACGGAGAATCAAAGTCTAAGTAAAGTAATGGCCATTATTATTGTAAAATTCTATGAATCCTATTTGCACCAAGCTGTTTACACTCAGGTTCACAGAGGCATGAATGTACAGAAGAATAACATGTAAGCAATAAAGTTTACATTAAAAGTAGAATTATGAGGCGAGAGATTTTCACTCAGCCTCATAATCTGAGCCGACCTGTGACAATGAAACGGTCACAGGTCGGCTCAGTAGATCGGGAAGTGAGCGAACACATACCGGCGCTCGCTCACTTCTCGATTTATCCGTGCAGAGAGCCGTGACTGTCACTCACGGCTCCCTGCAGGGATTTCCCTCCCCGATCCTCCAGCGCTTATTGGCAGAACGGACGGGGGAGGGGGTGGGTACAGCTGGCTCTGCCTCTAGATAGGCAGAGCCAGGTGTCACTCACGCAGCAGGGTGGATCCAGACATAATTGTCAGGATCAGTTCCGGCTGCGGCGTCTCAGTATTCTGCGAGCTGTAGCTCGTGGTATACTGAGCTTTGGGTGACGGGAGGACGCTAGTTTGTGTCCTCCCATTACCCTAAGGAGAACTATGGGGAAATGCCCTGACCCCATAGTTCTCTTTTAACCTCCCTGGCGGTATTCCCGAGTCTGGCTCGGGGGTTAATTTTCAGTACCAAGAGCGGTAACCCCGAGCCAGACTCGGGAATGCACAGAAAAGTGTCACTTACCTTGTCCCTGCGAACCTGCGGTGTCCTCTGCTGTACCTGGCCGGCTGATGCCGGCATCTGACTTTTAGTTTAGTTTTTGGGCGTCATAGCCGGCGGGAAATTCAAAAGTGAAAAGTTGCAATGTACACAGAATACACACAATACAATGTAATCTGCTATGATTATTATGATTTATGTATCAAACTATTTCACTTCAATTGTGTCCCTAGAGCTAGAATAATCATACCGGCAGGGAGGTTAAGAAACCCTTATTCTCAATGGAAAACTGTGTTTCCCTGAAACATGAAGACATCATAACTAGCTGTAGAGTTTTGTTTTTTTTCAAAGTCTGCATTCCTCAAATAATAAGAATACCAAGAAAAGGTATGATTTATATTTTGGAATACAAAACAGAATTTGCCTACATGTGCAGCTAAACAATGAAAATAAGGGTCCTGTGGTGCATGCAGTTGCTCCAACTGAAGAGTGTTTACTACCGTGTATGTCCTCCCTCTGCAAAGCAGTCAGTTCTTCTCTGGCTTCACCTTTTCCTATGTATGGAAGCCTTGTCTTTAGCTGGCTATACATTGAGCGACTTCTCGCTGGTTCTTGATCAACTGGCCAAAATTCACTAAGTGGATGGTCCTTTCTGCCATTTCCCACCTGACCTCCATCTAATGAAAAATGAAAGGGTGCGGTGGTCAGCCTAACAGCTTATGCATCCCCATGCAGGCACTGTTCAGGTTTTTTGACAAATCAGTGTGACCAACAATCAAAATACAATAGCCTCAGTGGCAGATTCCCCCATCGATGTGGTTTAGTCTGGATGGAGGTATCTGTTAGACTTTTTCAGTTCAAGCCGAATGTGAAAAAAAAATCTACTAGTGTATACCCAACTTTACACTGAACACCATACAGAGCAGATAGTTAATATAGACATAACTTACCAGACACCAATAGATACATCTTCATCCGGCTTCAAGTAAAGATTGCAGGTGTGATTTAACCCTTGATCCTGAGGCCTTTTCAAGTCAATAAAATATGGAAACCTCACTGAAAGAGAAGGACAACATGACTAACTGCATAACTAAATCATTCTATCACGCATCTCACAACCAATTTATGTGCAACACACAGTAGTAATGGACCTCATGCACTGAAAAGAGGAAATAGGATTGGCTGTCATAGGCAACACAAACTCTTTTTTAGACACTTTGTATTAAAGGGATGTTTAAAGTGAATCTATAGCCAAAACGTTTTAGTTTTAAATGCAGTGCCTAAAACTTTGCCAGGTTTTTTTTTGCCCTATGTCACCCTCTCTATAGATCCTGGTGGCCATTCTCACTGGAACAGAAAGTGATGGGAAATTCAATAGTCACTGGAACAGGGAGGTGCAAGGGAAATCTCCCAATGTAGACATATGTTTAGGTGACAGCCGGCTAAGAACAAGTTTCCCCTAACTTAAGGTCTCCATACAGACAACAATCTAACTGTACAATCAACTTTACCAAAGATTTACCAAATGTATGTAATATGAGGCAGGCCCTCACACTACGTAATTGTCGACAGATTAAAGGAGATTGTAATTGTGCGGTGATTTATACCCTTACTTTCTGTTGCGTCTCTTAGACAGGAAGTGGAGGTTCATCTCTCTAATGAGACACAGTCAGCACAAAAAAATGAAGGGGAGTTTTAGCCCTTCCCTAATCTATACAGAAAGTTGAGACATCGTACAGTGAAATGACTATTTCAGTAACCTGGTTAAAGAATTACAAGTGTCCTCGGGTAGAAACTTTACAGTGTGCTGCTATTTTCTTTTTTCATCCTCAGTCATTGCAGTAATACCTCGGTTAACAACCAGGAAGTTCAGCAAAATGTTGTTTCTGTTCGCGAACTCCAAATCTGGTGATGAACACAACCGCGGCCAGCTTCCCTGCTCTGAAATGTGGTCGTGGCTTCCTCTAGTCGAGATTTCGGTTGCAGACAGACCTGTGTACACTTGCTGTGAAGCTTTTTTGCGTGCTTTTTAGCACATACAGTACTGTACAGTATTATTCAATCCAGCATGGCTCCAAAGAAAGTGCAGAGCAAGCATGGTGGTAAAAAGAAAGTGCCGAGTGGTAATGAATTTATATATGGTTCAGAACATATTAACCTCATTTACATAGAACCCTATTGGAAAATGTTTTTCTGTTTGCAACCAAAATCAGTTCGCGACCACGTTCGTCGGGGTCAGAATCCTTTTTACATTAAACCTTATGGGTGAAATTTGATTCGGTTTGCAACCAGAATAGTGGAACGAATTAAGTTCATGAACCGAGGTACCACTGTATGCATAAGCAAAGATGTTACAAACTATTTCTTGCTGACTACATAATGATGTTACAAACTATTTCTTGCTGACTACATTCTTTATATGAACAGCTGACTGAAAACGTTGTAGCTTTTAGATTGATCAAAGTTGGCTTATTTGCGTCAACATTTTATAAACTCCCTTTCATCTTTTTTTGTTTTTTGCGACACTTCTGGTTATGGATACATATTGCTACTGAGAAAGTTAGCTTGACAAAGTAATACTTAAATAATACCATTCAGTAAGAAAGGATTTACATGCAAGTTATTTAAACCTAATACAAAGATAATTAAAAAGAAAAAACATAAAGTAAGCCGCTTGAAAAACACGGGAAAAAAAAGCCACACAATTTATTAAACAGATCAAGAAAGCAAATGTATAATAGGATACAACTCATTTTGATTAATCTCTGGGCTCTCTCTGTGTTTAAAGACAGGGATCAAAGACAAAATGAACGTTCACTGGCCTGTTACATTGACAGGCTACATTGGGTATATGAAAGGCTGGCCATAGACATGTTTTTTTCTTTCAGCCCCACGAGCTGAACCGGAAAACCCTGTGTGTATGGTCCGCTTCAGTAAGGCCTACATGCAAAGGTAGATTAAAAAAAAAAAAACATTATTAGACTGTGGAAATAAAAATAAGCATGTGTACTGGCTTCAACCGTAACTTGACTTTACAAAGTGGTTTATCATGTCACCACACCCTTTAGTTTTACTGTGTGTATCCAGAGTTGAAGAATGTAGGGCTAGAACAACATTAAAGCCAATTCCAAAAGATTTGTTAACAGTGATGAGAAGCACAGAAAATAAATGTTTAGGTCCTATGAGATACAGTGAACTTCCCAACAGATATCGTCTGAAGTAGCCAATGCAATGCATGATGCAAGAATTAAATGCAAGCTCAGGCATATGTAACCTGATAAAGAATGGGAAAAACAAGATAAGGTAGTGTTTTGGATCCTGCACAAAGTGCAGACATTTACACCAACAAAAGGTGCACAGCATACCCCATCTCTTCCCATGGAGCCCTATATAAGTGACCACAGTAAAAGCTGGCCCTATGCCACTGAGAAACCTCACTTTTTATATAGGGAAGGTATGTATTACAAATGAATTGCTTAAATTACCAAATGTATAGCTGCAGAAGTATGCACAACCACCAAGTGATCAGGAAACCTGTAGGGACATGTACTTTTGTGACATCACCAGAACAGAATATATCAAGATTTTCATGTATATCACTCGTATGCCATCAGTCTACCCTGGAGGAGTTTCATATACACCTACACAAATATTTTAGTGTTTGCACAATAGAGAGGAATAATGGTAACTGTGACATTATGACCAATTTTACTGATCCATCTCTAATGTTATTGTAGGGACTAGGGAATGTCATGGTTAGATGGGTTCTATAGTGTCCTGAGCAAAATTGTAACACAGAGAAACCACTTATCGTCACTGCACCTGCCACTAAAATTGATGCGTCTCTTTGTAAAGACTGTCTGACCACCATGGAAGCTTGTTAAGCAGTGGGGCACCTGAGAGATAATCTCTGCTAAAGCTTCCTTCCCTCCAGGAGGGCAAAGAAAATCTAACCAGCTTTATGTTTGCAAGTCCTTGTTCTTGTGAGCCAGACTTTCAATACACAGCAAGCATGTATATGACGAAGAGGAAGACTACACAGGATACATGAAATGTCAAAACTTACAGGCCATTTAATTGGAGTATACATCCAGACAAGCTCAGTCCCATTTACGCTATGCCCCATCCTTATTCCATACTGTATCGTGACTTCTGCATAATGTGCATGTAGAGGAAAACTGTATGAACCAGCAATCTTACAAACATGACCCAGAATGTAGGCACCAAGCTTTTAATCTGCCACTACCAGGTTTAAGTCAAAAGCTGGCAGTGTACTTTCTACAAAGCACAGAGGATGGAGCTGATAGGAAATATGTCTAATTTATGTTGTATTTCGATGAACTGAGAGGGAATCAAACTGCTGTTATGCCCCCATCCCACTGGCTGGCACCCTGTGCAGTCAGAAAAATACAATATAAAGTCAGTTATTTATGATGTATACATAGATATGAAAGCAGGCGCACATGTAGGGCACACTATAGATGTATTCGGACCAGTTTTGGGTTCTTACTACATTCCGAAAGTATGAATATGCATGTACCATGCTATTTAAAACCCAAGTGCAGCTTAAAGGAGAGGTAAAATATACTCTCCCTGCTGCTTAAAGCTGATGTGGGACACTGCAGTTGTCATACACGCGGTCTACACGGTAGAGCTGCAGCTAACGGTTATTTTCAAAATCGATTAGTTAGCCGATTATTAAGTTTGATTAATCGGTTAATCTGATTAAAAAAATTGTTTTTTAAAAATGGCTCCAGTGATGGGACTGCTAGTTTGTATTGCGATTGTAGTCCATCACAGGAGCAAGCTAGGAGCGGGGGAAGTAAAAAAGAAAAAAAAAAAAAAA